TTATAGTCAAGGAAACTTTACATTAAATCTTTGAACTTACTCATCATATAGCTGAAATTTGTCACCCACTTATTTCTGCCAGTCCCTGGGATGCACCATCCTATTTCCAGCTCCTATAAGTTCTTATATTAGTCAGCTTTCTCCTGGCTGAGACACGATACTCAACACACACACACACACACACACACACACACACACACACACACAACCTGAGTGGGAGAGGTTTAATGCACTCAGCTTCAGTCCATGATGGGTGGCTCCAAAGCAGAAATGACATGGCAAAGCTGAGTAGTTCATGGACCAGGAAGCAGAGCGTGGGAAGAGTGCCAGAGCAGAGGGGTGGAGAGATCAGACATAGACTCAGGAGATTCAGTGTAGGGCAGAGGAAGTATTCAAACTGATCGTAAGTTTAGATTAAGAAGAGACCTATTGTGATAACACAAATGGAGAATTAAGAATGATCCGTTTTGAAGAAAACAAGTTCTGTTTGAAATATATTAGACAGTAGTACTGTAAATGAAACTTTACAGGAAATAACTGAAAGAAGAGAGAGCTCCAAGCTTGAATAATAGTTCTTGGCTGGTACAATTGATGATATTTTTATTTGTTTTTTTCCCCATTAAGTTTATTGGTACATTTAAAGCAAACAATACAATTACATTTATCATTGGGATCGTGTACCTTTATATGATATGTCTTGGTTTTTGGTTTTTCCCCATTCTCCTGGCCTCCCTTCACACCCTTCACCCTTCCCTATTTACAAAGGCTTTTTTTCCATTTTTTTCCTTTTTTTACATTTTTTATTTTCCCTTATTTCCTTTCCCCTTGGATGACAATTTTTAAATGGAAGATTCTCAAGGAAAACTTCTTTGCTTTTGTGCCCTTTTGGTTTGTCAAAATATATCATTTTACATACAGGGGGTTATATGAACTAAATGTCAATCATATGGGTAACCTAAAATGAAAGTGCTTTAAATTTAGGCATGATCTTACCTGTAAAGAAAAATATTCTAGATAATAGTCCTTTGTCTGAGGAACAGCTGGTGAAAAGTTTTTCCCACATTGTAGGTTGTCTCTTTGTTCTCTTGATGGTTTCTTTTGTAGTGCAGAAGCTTTTTAATAAGATGAGATCCCAGTTGTTGATTCTTTCTGCTAGTGCCCATGCTACTGAGGATTTGTTCATAAAGTCTTTCCCTATGCCAATGTCTTCAAGAGTTCTGCCTAACTGATCTTCCAGCAAGTTTAGTGTTTCTGTTTTAATATTTAGATCTTTCATCCACTTGGATTTTAATTTAGTGCATGGTGAAAGATAAAGGTCCAATTTTCATCTGTGGCAGGTTGAAATCCAGTTTTTCCAACACCATTTATTGAAGAGGCTGTCTTTCCTCCACTGAGGATGGTCAGCTCCTTGGTCAAAGATGAGGTAGCTGAGTACATCTGGATTTGTTTTTGTGTCTTCCAGTCTGTTCCACTGATCTTCAGATCTGTTTCTTTGCCAGTACCATGCTGTTTTTATCACAGTGGCTTTGTAGTATAGTTTCCAATTGGGAATCAAAACAATCAGCCCCCAAAATATAAAGACCCAATTAAAAAACGGGCATCTGAAATGAACAGACATTTCACAGACAAAGAAGTAAAAGCAGCAAGTAAATATATGAAAAAAAATGTTCCACATCACTGGTCATTCGAGAGATGCAGATGAAAACAACACTGAGATTCCACCTCACCCCACAAAGAATGGCTGCTATCAAGTGATCAAATAATAACAAATGTCGGTGGGGTTGTGGGGAGAAAGGAACCCTTCTCCATTGTTGGTGGGAGTGCTGACTGGTGCAACCACTATGGAAATCAATATGGAGATACCTCAAAGAGCTGGGACTAGAGATTCTATTTGACCCAGCCATCCATCTGCTGGGTATCTTTCCAAAAGAACTAAAAGAATCATATCATAGTGATATATGTGCACCTATGTTTATAGCGGCACAGTTTGTAATAGCTAAAACTTGGAAACAGCCCACTTGCCCCTCAGTTGGAGACTGGATAAAGAAGATGTGGTTTTTCTATAAAATGGAATATTAGTCAGACATAAGGAATGAGAAATTAGATTCATTCATAAGGAAATGGATACATAATGAGGATATACTCCTAAGTGAAATAAATAACTCACATGTGTAAATACCGAATAGTTTCTCTGGTGTGAATAAACTGTAATGTTACATAAAATCCTAATGAGATAACTGACATTGTGAAATGGGGAGCAAGGCGCTAAAGGTATAGGGAAGGTGGGATGGGTAGGGGAAGGGTAATAAGGGAAAAGAAAAAAATGTGAGAAAATGAAAAGATGGAAATAAAGTGTTTGTAAATGGGGAGGGGAGGAGGGGTTGAAGGGAGGGCAGGGACAAGGGGAAAAAATGAGAACCAAGACCTGTCATGTAGAGGTACAAGATCCCAACAATGAATGTAACTGTACTGTATCCCTAAAATGTACCACTAAATTCAATTATTTAAAAAAATTAAAAGAAAAGCTTGATTGATAGTTTATTTCAAAGATCAAAATATATAGCATAGTTAATAAAGTGAAAATGTTTAGCTAGTTTGTTCTTTTTGGGCAGGTTGTAAAATCCTTAAGGTTGGGCAAGGTGATGGGAAACTCATTTATATTCCCCAGTGATATGCTTGGTGAATGCTTAATTGTTGAACGGGGTTTTAAAATGATCCATACGTGTACCTGACAACATACTATGTCCCTCTACCCTCGAGGTAGGCCTGTTTTCTTCTCCCTTCTTTCCTTTGTCCGTCTCTCTCTCTCTCTCTCTCTTTCTCCTCCTACTCTCTCTTCTTCCTGTCTGTCTCTGTTTGTGTCTCTCTCTCTCTATTTATTTATTTGTTTGTTATTTTTTGAGACAGGGTCTTGCTATGTAGTTCAGGCTGCTGGTCTTGAACTCACTATGTATTCCAGACTGGACTCAAACTCACAGTGATCCTCCTCCCAGTCTCCTGAGTGCTGGGATTACAGGCTTGCACGGCCAGGCCTGGCAGGCTGTTTTCAGTAAGGGCCTTTGGTTTAATTCCCAGCTGTGGTATAGTCCTTTGAGAGCAAATTAAGATACTTGGCTAACATGGGGATTGTTACCTGAAAATTAAAAGTTAGAGTCTTCCCCATACCTCAGACTCAGTTGGCCCCATGGGAGACTCCCATTCTTAGACACGCCCTTATCTTGAACTCTTTCCTTCAAACTACTGTCTTTGATGGAGTAGAATTACGAAATGGTACATGAGGAGAGTTCTGGGGGCTCATACAAGCTGTGTGTACTTCTGTCAAACTACAAATGTTAAAAAAGGCTTTCATGGTACATACTTTAATTTTGGGTATGATCCTAAGTTTAGCCAAAAAGAAAAGCTCTATGGCTATCATTTAGCAGGTATGGTAATTAAAAGTTTTGTCGGTCACTGTCTAAACAAAATGATGTCATGTTCCCAAAGGGTAAGTTCTCTGGTGCATTTTAACTCCAGATTGTTCCCACACTCCCGTGATACTAGGTTTATGTACATTTTGATAATTGTTTGCTATGTAGCAGTGTAATTTTCATGTAATATAGAGTAAGGGAAACTGAATAAAAACACCTTATTCAATAAATTAATTGTTATTAAATATCTGTTGCATTTAGTGTTAAATACTTTCTTTTTGTTTTCTGAAGTTTGACTTTTATATTATTATGAAAATCACATTATTTATAATAAATATTTTATTCCTGTCTCTAACATCCTATGGTATTTGTGTCAGTTAATTTAATGCATTAATTTACAATGCCTATGGGCATATTTTTTGTGAGTTTACTATTTTAGAGAGCAGATTCAGATGTGTTTTTCCACCAATCACCTTACTCAAGCCTTTGGATTGTATCACAGATGCAGACGATACAGAAACACATATATTCATTCACTTGGTGGAAACTTGCTGAGCCTCTACTCTAATCCCGCCCACCCTGTGCTGAAAATCAGTGATATAGCAGGAAACAACACGTCATTAGGGTCATAGAGAACATGCATTTTCACTATCCGGTACTAAATCAGTAACAATAATATTTTACCCTCACTTAGTAATTTTTGTTGTTGTTGTTTTTTGTTTTTTTGAGACAGGGTCTCACTATGTAGTTGAGACTGATCTGGAACTCACTATGTAGCCCAGGCTGGTATTGAACTCACAGCTATCCTCCTGCCTCAGCCTCCCGAGTGCTGGGATTATGGGTGTGCACCACCATGCCTGGTCCTAATTTAGTAATTTTAATCCAAGCCTTTATAAAAACAAAATAATGCAAATTATAGATTATTTCTACAATGTTTTCTAGAAATCATAGAAGAAATTCTGTTTCAGGAATGAGCTTCAGAACTTATTTTTTTCTTTTGATTATTTAATTAAATTAAATTAATTAATTTATTTTTTGATTCTGGGGATCGAACTCAGGACCTTGGACTTATGAGGCAGGCAGTGGCACCATTGAGCTAAATCCCTGGCCCTATTTTCTTTCTTTCTTTCTTTTTTTCTTTTCTTTTTTAAAGAGCTCATTTCCTAGTAGATTTCAAAAAACAGACACCCGAGGCTCCAAATTTGGGATTTGGCTTTCTTGGAAATTCATATCACCAGCAAACTCAGAGTTTGCTTACTTAATGTGATTGGCTGATTTGGCCCCTAGAAAAAGGCATATGTTGTATGAATCAATGAGAAACATGTGAGGCTGGTGATTTTAATGACCAGGGTCTCGTAATCATTGCTTTTATAAATGCAAAACAGCTTACTTAAAAAAAAAAACCCTTATATGTCCTTTAATTGTGAGACTTCTCCTTGGGAGGCTGAGGCAGGAGGATTGCTGTGAGTTCGAGACCAGCCTGGGCTACATCCTGAGTTCCAGGTCAGTCTCAACTACAAAATGAGACCCTGTCTCAAAAAAAAAAAAAAAAAAAATTATGAGACTTCTTTTATCTCTTGTTCTCTTTTCCAGGTTTTAGGGGAAAAGCCAGCGCTTCGAGATGGAGACGGTGACGATGACGCCATAGCGGACATCAGTAACAGGAAGATGGCAAAGCTGTACATGGTGAGTTCACTGGGACCAAGTTCTCTTTTCTGTGGGGCTGGGTGTGGTGCAGGCTTGTGCACTGGAGTGATTCTCTTTGCTATGGCTGATTACTCCTCAATGCTTTCACAGAGAAATGTGTAGGTAGAATCAGTTCTTTTCTCTTATGTACTTGTTAAATTTATTCTTTCTATTACTTTGTGTTTTTTTTATCAGAAACAACGAATAAATGCTCGCTGTGACTTACATAAAACTTGTTACTCTGTTGGGTTGCGGCCAATGTATTTGGACATATTTCAATCTATAAAATGTGCCCTTCATAGAATAAAGCATTTTGTTAGCTTTTTCTTTTAAATTCTTGATAAGATTATAAGATCTTTGCCTTATTTAAGATAGCTTCCTTAACTCTAATAGAGGCTTTCTTGGTTACACGAAGGTGAAACTCTCACATCAGTCAGCTGGAAGGAAACAGGATAAAACCAGCCCTGCCCTGGGTACTGGCTTACTGAATGCCATGTCACCTCTCTGCTGAATGGCTTTGTGACCTTGGGCAAGACATAGCCATTCTAGGCCTTCATCTGCTTATCTGAAGAGAGAGGGGAGTTGTGTGAGCAGAGAGACAGAGAAGATACTAGATGATTACTCAGGTTCCTTCCAACCATGCAATTTTATGATTTTATTGCTGGTTAGGGTAACAAAAGCCACAAGACATACCAGTTAAAGAGATGGCTAAAATAAGATTCTTTAAGTCTTCCTTCCCCTTACAACTTTCCAAGCAAGAGATATGGACTAGATAGTAATCTCCCTGCAGAATCTAGTAATTTTCTCATCTGTAAGGGGAAGGAACTCTATTTGATGTGCTTTCAAGGACTTTCTAGCTCAGAAACACATAGCTTTACATCAACTGGGAAAACGGATTCCTCCTAAATGGCAAAAGAAAATATGGTTACCATTTCTGATAAATACAGAAATTCTTATCTAAATACTTTGTGGTTTCATTACTTTCTTTAAAACCTGTTGTCTGTAGCCTCGTGTTTCGTTTAATTCACATTATCATTCAAATTGTCTTCCCTCGTGGACAAAAAAAAATTCTTCCCCCCAGCGGGAAATGTGAACCCTGAATCATGTCTAACGTGTTGGACCCATCTCAAATAAATGAAAATAATTTGGTGCTCCCGAAAAAGACTGGGGAGCAGAATCCCCTGGGAGCACTTTCTAAAAATACACAATTCAACCCGCTGCTCAAAAACTCCAGCGCTGATCTGCGGAGGGGCCTGGGATTAACTGGTGCCCAGGACGCGTCGCTGTAGTGACAGGCTGACCTTTGGAAGCCTGCATGTGACTCACGGATACCACTTTCCACTTTGTAAGACCCACGTGAAAATTAGAAAAACTCCTGCTTCCAAATATGAAAGAAGAAATTTATTCGTGATGGTTTTCGCAAAATATAATTGAATTTCAAGACTGTGTGTTCCCATAGGCAAGACTAGAGTAGGGCTTCCCCAGCGCGATGCCTGCTACATAACGGGCACTCTGTGGCCTGAATGGGTGTTTTGTAAACTTCAGCTTTTGGTGAGTCCAGTGAGTGAAGGATCATTATTTACTTGAAAATGTTGCTCTAAAATTTAAAAGGGACCATGTGAATGAAATCCATCACATGGTGCTTACTACATATGAGCATCTCAATAAACCTTTGCCATTGTTATTATCGTCTTGTTTTCTGATGTGTTAATCTCAATATTGAACGTTTTTAGTCGGAGCTCTTTTACCCTGAAAGTAGCTTTTTTGAGATATAATACGCTGGTACCTCGACTCACAAACTTGATTTGTTCCACGATGTTGGGGAAGACAGCCACGTTGGTATTCCTGCAGGGACAATAGCCCTGGTCTTGTCACCTGTTGCGGAGTTCACCGACAGAAGCAAAATTTTGCCAAACCCTTCTGTTTGTGAACCAAATTGTTTGGAAATAAAAGTGTTCGTGAACTGAGGCATTACTGTACACACATCATAAAGCTCTTCCAGGGTGTAGTTCAATTTTATTACATTTAGAGAGCTGTGTAACCTTCAGTGTAATGTAATTTTAGCAGACTTGTGTCCTCCCTGAATGAAACCATGGTGCTCATGGTTTTTATTTTAGGTTTCAGATGCAAGTGGCTCCATGAAAGTGACTGTAGTGGCCGAAGAAAACCCCTTCACAATGGCGATGCTGCTTTCTGAAGAGTGCTTTATTTTGGACCATGGTGCTGCGAAACAAATTTTTGTGTGGAAAGGTAAAAGATGCTATTGATCTTGCTGCATTTCCAATTTATAAATGTTTCCTTAGGAGGGTAAAGAAAATACTTTTTTGCAGCCTCTTTGGAGATACGATCTGTAACAATCTCACCTAAAATGCAGCCAAATTTCCTTTACTAATGTCATTTAGCAAGGATTAGGGAGTTAAAGCAAGCATTTGGGCAATGGAAAAAGAATCTTTTTAGAATTACTGTGTTATTAAATATTTTAATGTTCTAGGGAATATTTGCCATTCTCACATTGGTTTATTTAAATTAAATTATAATTGTGTTTATATTTGGTATGCAACTATTTCTTGTGTAATTTCTTTACTCTCTGAAACCTTGTCTTTCTTTAATTTTTTAATCAGTTAATTGGTACATTTTATGTATACAGTACAGTTACATTCATCATTGGGATCTTGTACCTTTACATGACTTATCTTGGTTCTTATTTTTTCCCCATTCCCAGCCCTCCCGTCACCCCCTCCACCCTTCCCTATTTACAAAGACTTTGTTTCCATGTTTTTGCTTTTCTCATATCTTTTTCTTTTCCCTTTTTACCTTTCCCCTACTCCTCCCACTTCTCCTACTCCTTTAGACCTTTTCTTCCTGTTGCACAATATCGATTATACATTTTGATTCTTATTAGCACTTTTAGTTTTTCATGCTAGAGAAACTATTTGGTATTTACACGTGTGTCTCGTTAATTTTACTTGAGTATGGTCTCAGTGTGCATTCACTTAGCTATAAATGTCTCTAATTTCTCATTCTTTGTGGCTGAGTAGTAGTACTCTATTTTATAAGAAAACTACATCTTCTTTATCCAGTCTCCAAGTAATAGGCTATTGGGCTGTTTCCAAGTTTCAGCTATTATAAACTGCTGCTCTAAACATGGGTGAGCACATATCACTGTGGTATGATTCTTTTAATTATTTTGGGAAGATGCCCAACAGGGAAATAGCTGGGTCAAATGGAACCTCTAGTCCCAGCTCTTTGAAGTATCTCCAAATGGATTTCCACAGTGGTTGCACCAGTCTGCACTCCCACCAACAGTGGAGAAGGGTTCCTTTCTCCCCACGACTGTGCCAACATTTGTTGTTGGTTGATTTTTTGTTAGCAGCCATTCTTTTTTTTCTCTCTCATTGAGTTTATTGGTACATTTTAGGTATACAGTACAATTACATTCATTACTGGGATCTTGTACCTTTACATGGCAGGTCTTGTTTCTCATTTTTTCCCCTTACCCCTGCCCTCCCTTCACCCCCTCCTCTCTTCTCTATTTACAAATACTTTATTTCCACTTTTTCATTTTCTCATTTTTTTTCTTTTCCTGTATTTCCTTTTCCCTACCCTTCCTACTTCCCCATCACCTTTAGGATAGCAGCCATTGTTTCCGAGGTGAGGTGGAATCTCACCATTGTTTATATCTGCATCTCTCTTTCTATAATTTACCTTTTACTTTAGGTAAAGATGCTAATTCTGAGGAGAGGAAGGCTTCAATGAAGACAGCAGAGGAATTTCTACAGCAAATGAATTACTCCACCAATACTCAAGTATGTGTGAAAATGAATTGGCAAGAAAAAAAAAGTCAAAACATGGGAGTTACGACATTGTCTTAAAACTCATGAGTTTGCTTCTGAGTAACGTATACGTGTGGGGTTATCTCCACTCGAGGGTGTGCAGTGTTGTATTGTGTGTTCCTCGTATTTTTTTCTGTGTGAGGTAAAATTTTGCAGAAACTTGAGATCAGACTTGTTAGGGCTGCATAATGAGAAAAAGCCTGTTCACTTCCAACACAGCCTTTAATTCATGATAATAAACCACAGTTGATTGAACTGGAAGCACTTATGTACTCCTTAGTGCAGGTTGTATAGATGGGCTGGTACCAAGATAATGTTTGTCTTTATGGTGATCAACTTAGACATTGGTCAGTTAGTCTTTTCCTGTCTGAATTTCTCAGCCTCAGTTATGCCATTCATCCTTGTATCGTGGCTCAAGTAACACTGTGAGATAATTTCTTTCAGGTCACAAATCTCTTAGGAACCTGACATTAGAAGACACAATGGTAACACACGGAAATTTATTCTTATCACAAACATTCAGATTCAATGGCAGTTTCTTTAATTGTGAGGAAAAGAAGGACTGGGCTATTTTAGCTTCATGGGCTTCAAAATGTGTATCTGTAACCACAGAAACCAGGACAGTATTTCCATTTTCTTAGTTCTTTCTCCAATACAGAGTATTACTAGAGTAATACTAGAGTATTACTAGAGTAATATTTTTCCTTCATCTCTTATTTTCTTGGTTATCATTATTGTTTTAAATTTCAGATTCAGGTTCTTCCAGAAGGAGGTGAGACACCAATCTTCAAACAATTTTTTAAGGACTGGAAAGATAAAGATCAGAGTGATGGCTTCGGGAAAGTTTATGTCACAGAGAAAGTGGCTCGAATAAAACAAGTTCCATTTGATGCCTCAAAGTTACACAGTTCTCCGCAGATGGCAGCCCAGCACAATATGGTGGATGATGGTTCTGGCAAAGTGGAGGTTATATATCTCACAAAAACTTTTTTTTTGTTAGTTTTTAATCAAGCCTGTTTATGCCAGTCTGCATGGTAACACAATTTCTGGAAACTGCAGACATTTTGTATTGTAAATTTTATGTAGTAATAGAGATGGTAATAAAGACGGTACATTATGGTATCCCAAATTATGGAAGTTAAAGCTAAAAGAGATACTGTTTGATCATACTAACCACTTTACAAATTTGTATGTTGAGACCCCAAGAAGATAGGTGGTTTGTTCAAGGTTTCCTAACTACCATCTTAGAGACCTGTTGTGGAAGGCAGCCATCTTGCTTCAGGTTCAGAACAGCTTTTCTGGCAGAGAGCCTGTGGTGAAGGTTGTCCAGTGGGAGTGTTGCTCTGAAGGAACTTACAGCCACCAGTTTTTCCTTCCCCCATATATTACAGGCAATCATGAAAGCAAACTGAGCACGTGTATTATTAAAACTAGGTAATTTCAGAGCAAAGCAAGTTTGTTGGTTATTCCATTTTAGATTTTTAAAATTGCTAACAATTTCCTTGTCATTCTCCTTAATTCTCTTCCCTGTCAATACATTCTTAAGTTGGCTAATCTGATGGGAACTAAGTAAGGTTACTTCCCATTTTGTAAATATGTCCACAGTTTTTCTAAGTCTGCTGAAAGGACCCATCACCAGTTGGGCCTTCAAGGCCTTTGTGATCTGACCATTGCTCCCTCTTAGTTCACTTGTCAGGACTTGAGGGTTTACTCTTCCCTCACCATCTGGTTGGTTTTCCAATTCCTCCCTCCACTATCTAGCTAGCATTGTCACTTTCTGTGGCAATCCAGTCAAGTCGTAAGCTGCACCTCTCTGGGAAGCCTTACATAGGCCTTCTTGGTGTTCAGTTTATAAGTGATAGTTTCCACAGGATTTATCCTATTGATACCATAGAATTGTTCATTTATTTAGACGTTTCTCGTAGGCCTCTCACCAGTACCTTTAGAAGAAGAGTTAAATATCTTATCTCTTCATTCCTAGGGATTACCACAGTGCTTGCCAAACTATATTATCAAGAAATTTGGGCAGGCCTGGGATTTAGCTTAGTGGTTCCACCACTTGCCACGCAAGCACAAGGACCCAAATTTGATCCCTGGTACATTAAAAAAAAAAAAAAA